TTGAAGAGGCATCAATAAACACCAACATGTCATCTGCGTATTTGCAAATGAGGCACAGTTGGGCCGTGTCTGCTACTCCTGAAGCCAGAAAGGAGACCTGCCTGATATAACCGGGAAATAGAGCGACTGAAGACCTCCGCCACAATAGCAAACAGAAAGGGGGAGAGGGGATCACCTTGGCGAAGACCCCTCGAGAGCAGGAAGAAACCTTTTGGGGTTCCGTTAATAAGAATACAAAAGTGTGGATGGGAGTAACAACCTCTCATCCACTTCCTCGATCTATCCCCGAAACCCATTCTGGCCATCGACTCGTCCAGAATTAACCAGTCAACATGGTCATAAGCTTTTGCCCAGTCTATTTTGAAGATAAGCCCTGGTTTTTTCTCCAGATGCCTCGAGTGGATGCACTCGTGGGCCATTAAGGCCCCATCAAGAATCTGCATGTCTTTGATGAAGGCGGACTGTGAAGAGGAGATGATAGAAGGGAGGACAGATTGAAGCTTAGAAGCGAGAACTTTTGCCAAAATCTTGTAGGAGGAATTGAGAAGACTGATTGGACGAAAGTCTTAGATTTCCTCTGCCACTTCTACTTTAGGGACGCATGTGAAGAAGGTGGCGTTCATGGCTTTGTGAAGGGTAGCCCGTAGGAAAAATTCCTCAAAGAACTCGATGAAATCAGGACATAAGGTATCCCTAAAAGCCTTGAACGGAGCAATCGGGAAGTCGTCGAGGCCGAGGGCCTTATCTTTGGCTAGAGCATTGATTGCTTGTATAATTTCTTCTTCTGAGAAGGGTCGCTCTAGCCAGACAGGTTGGTCTTCTATGAGGGTTAAGAAGTCAAGGGATGGCATTCTCGGTCAGGGGCCGGGATGAGCAAAGTATAGAGTTCGAAAGAACTCTATAATTGCCTGCTCTATTTCTTCTGGTTGAGTAAGATAGCGGTTGTTTACTTTGATCATCGAGATAGTATTGTCTCTCCTGCGACAATTAGCTATCCGATGAAAAAAGGCAGTGTTATGGTCTCCCGCTTTCAACCAGGTAATTCTTGATCTCTGGAACCAATAGATCTCTTCTTTTTTGAGGGAATACAGGTATTCATGTTTTGTCTTGGATCTGAGGTCCTGCTTTGCGGCATCGAGGGTTCTAGTTTCCTAAGGTCAATCTTTCTTATGGTTTCTAACAGGGGAGAGGAGACTTGATTTGAGAGAAGTCACCTGGCCTGGACCGACTCCAAGTTTTGAGAGAGGATTTGAGGAGTTGGATTTTGGTCTGAAGGATGTATCCAGCTCTACTCGTGACCTCGAAAGAGAAGGAATTCCACTAGATTTGGACGAGGGTATGTAAGGACTCCTCTTGGAGCCAGTGAAGTTCAAATCTGAAAGGTCTAGGGCCCCTCTTTACTGCACTCGTATCAAGCATAATGAGACAGTGGTCCGACGTAGGTTTAGGAAGGTCCATTGATAAGGAACTCAGAAAGTGCTCCTCCCAGTTCATAGGAGTTCATTTCGGCTGATAAAGTCTAAGATATCCCTCATGTCCTGAGAGATAGATGTTGAGGAGTTTCTCTCATAGGACCATCAGATGACATTAAAGTCTCCTCCTAAGCACCAAATGGGGTGTAGTAGGGACGCAACATGATCCAATTCTGACCAAAGCCTGTTCCTGAGGGTGGGAGAGTTTGGGCCACAGACTGCCGAAAATTTTCATGGTATCCCATCTGAGGTGCTAGAAAGGAGAAGTGTGACTGAAAACTCTCCTATGAAGGAGGAGTTTAGGGTATGGTCAGAAGGGTCCCATAACACCCATATACCCCCTGATGCCCCATTCGCCGGCAGAGATACCCATTGGCAAGGTCTTCTACCCCAGACCTGGCGAATGAGTCGAAGATTAGGCTCTGGTAGTTTGGTTTCAAGGAGGGTAAAGAAACAAGGTTGAATCAAAGAGGCTCAATGACTTAGTTTATGTGAAGTACAATCGATACTTGAAGGAGAGGTTTGCTAAGACATAAGAGTGACCCCCTCATATCATAAAATATGGATAATGCTATGGAGTGGTTGGTTGTTGATGATGAGGTCGAGGGGCATGAAGGATTGACATGGGATATGGTCATGAAGGCCTCGAACAGCAGCCAACCCTCCTAGGGCCACTAGATCTTTTCCCAGAGGACGATGGCGGAGGAGGAAGAGGAAGAAGCTGAGGCAGATTCAGAAAAGATAGAGGAGGATGACCATTATGTTGAGGAGGGAGATGATTCCAATGAGGATGGGCTCGACTCAATGCATATGGTGTAGATGAACCTGCTTTTTCTGATGATGAGTGATGACTGAAGACTCTTTTTAGTCTTCATTTATATTTCTTTCATTTTTCTTTTCCTCCTCTTGTTGTGTATGTAAGTTGTAAACTTGTGTAACTATATATATATGAACAACGGATATGGAGTTATGGAGTATGGAGGAGTGTATGTGGAGTTGTGGACTATGGACATTTGATATGTCCCAACTCTTATATGTTATTTTTCCTTTTCTTGATGATGAATCGATGCCTTGTCGTCTTGGATTATATTTTCCAATTTTTATTGTGTATGGACTATGGAGTGCATGGAGTTTGAATTATGGTAAGGACTATGAAATATGGTCTAATACTCTGTCTAATGGTTTGAAGTTTGAACTTTGAAGTTTGAACTTCGATTTTCAAATTTGAAATACATGGAATTATGGACTAATGGACCCTTGATGGACAATATATTATGTAATATTAATGTGTCATATGTTGCCCTCATTTGAAAAAGGGCTAGGTTGTATTAGGTAGGCAGCCAACGTTAAATTTTGTCAAAACTCATGATGATGATGATGATGTCGTAATATGTATTTTTAAATTTTTTTACACAAAATTTGACCCTAAAACAGTTAGACAGTTAGATATCTCATGCTCTATACTCTACTGGGCAGCCCAAGTTCTAGGCAAACCTGGTGGGACCACCGTCCCCTGACCATTCAAGTTTCTAGGACATTCAAAATTTCCATTAGTTGCAGGCGTCTACTTATATGCCGCTCTCCTGACCTTCAAAGGGTAGAGAGCGCAAAAGAGGGGCAACTGTAGACACCTCCAAATTTAATTCATTTATGAGTTCTAAAACCCTGAAGGACACTATCCTGGTACACCATAGGATACACTAGACATAATCCATACCCAAACCATAATCAGCCTTAGGAATATTCCTTGAATATGCCATAAATCCCATTTTAAAAGACCCTCATTGAAAATAGGTAGGTCTCAGTGTGAATAAGATAGAAAATTGTCAAATCGAAAAATTCCCGAGAAAATTTGTCAAAATATATCCTAAAACAGGCAAGTCCATGATTTTTTGCGCCAATTAGAGCTAAAACGTTGTCAGCGACGAGGTCCGTGTCATTGCGCACTCCATCCAAAGACATAGCCAAACTTCTTTCAGTTCCAGATCCAAAAACCCTAACCCTAGTTCCCCAGTCCTGAGAGCCTAAACCCTAGAGCTAGACTCTTGAAACCCCAGATCTAGGAACCTTAATTCAACTAATTTTAGAGAGCAAAAACAACCCTTTCATTCAAGTCAAAAACCCTAGATGTAAATTCCAAGGCATCCCCCTCTTCCCTGCAGTGAAACCAAACACAAATCTACAATCTCAAAGATTAATAAGGATGGATTCTCGCCTTCACCGTCTGATCCAAGCCCAAGGGCTTGGCATTCAGGTATGTTTATTCTTTTATTTTTTATTTTATTGTTGTCGTTTATTTCTTTAGAAAATCTCTTGTATATTTGTTCTTCCTATTTTCTTTGATTTTTAGACTTTATTTCGAATTTTACACAACTCTAAGTCGGATCGGCCGATGATTTCCAAGAAGACTGCCCGTGAGAAGACTACTCATAAATTGTAATTTGACAGAACCCATTTCTCCCATTTTAAAAATTGAAGTTAAGAAACGACCTTAGATAGATCGAAATTTGAGTAGTTTGGTATGTCTCAAAATCGCGTGTAAATAGTCTTTAGACCACAATTTTAGATGGATCAGACTTTGAGTAGTTTGGTTTGTCTCAAGATCGTATGTAAAAACTAGTCTTTTCCATTCCCCTTTTGTCTTGTACACCAATCTTTTCAATTATTCTTCTACATACAAGGAATTTATCATGTCAAGAAATCACAAGTAGCAGATTGTCAAATCAAATACTTGAACTCCTAATACCTATGGACCTGAAAGTACTTGCGATTCCATCAAATTGCAAGACAAACCATGCAGACTACTGGCAATTCTAATTTCTAACTCTTTCAAGGAGCGCCCTCATCTCTGACATAGTAGAGTTGCAAACTTCTAAAACACTCCAGGGACATCAACATGGTCCCTACATGCCACAAATCTTTCTGGACCAGAATTGCCACGAAAACAACCACCAAACTCAAATTTGTAACTATCATCCATAGGCCTAAGCATGAAACTGTAAGTCTTATATGATCCCAAGAACATACTCGTTTCCAATTGCACAACATATCCTATAGTGGATCCCTTTAAACTTAATGAAGGCCTTTCTTTGAAGGTTAAAAAACTCAATGAAGGTTACAGCCCAAGAAAAGACCAATCTGCAAATACTCTCCCCACAAACCTCATTTGACACCCATTGAGCTTCAAAAATACAATTATTCATCTCCCTCAAATGCCAAACATTGTCCCCGATGAGTTCAGTTTCCAAAAAAAGGAAATGTTGACCACACAGAGAGAATAACAAGTTTAAATAATAATAATATCAATGAACAGTAAAACAGTAAAATATTGAGAACCAATTCAAAAAGAATAAACCATGATCAGGTCACTGCTATACCTGAGTAGCTAAAGATCTATGAGGATGCAAAACAATAGATATTACTACCAATACCAACCAAATCTTTGACAAATAGCACCAATAGGAAGTGGTACGAGAGTCATTTAACTACAAGTTGAAAAAGGAAACAAAATGGAAGCATAAGCATTGCCTCTGTAACGTTGATAAAATTCCTCAAGATGTCTGGAATCAGTAACAGATCTAACTTGCGGCTGGCTATAGAAAAGATCAAAAGCCCCTTCAAGATGCCAATCACTAGCTTTGAGAGCCTGGAGAGCAACCTTTTCACTGCAAGAGTAACAAGTGCTATAACACATCAAGCATCTCAAAATGATGAAAAAGCAGCATCATGTCAAGATGCTAAAATTCAGGAAACTTGTATTAGATAGAATCCATATGAACATGCATGAAGTATTACTAGAAAGTTATGCATAGATGATACGACCATTAGTGCAATCAACAAACAAAATCAGAATATATATATATATAGGAAAAAGCTACCAATAGGTCGCCACCTAAAATGAATAGTAGTTTAATTTACGCTCCCAACCATCAGATCTTGATCAAATGGTTAAAAATGCATGTTACTATTTGAATTTTATCTTCTTTATACAAATTGGAATAAGCTTAAATTTTAGATATATATATACTTAACACTATCACACACCATATAAAAATATAAAAAATTTATTTTAAAAACTTTTAAATGACCTGATTACCCCTATCATATTCCAGGGGTCGTTTGGTTTTAGTTTTTATCAAATATTTGTTTTCTACTCTCTTTTTTATGCACCCTAATATGCATATGTTGAAAAAATATTAAAGTACATTAATATGCATTTTCAACCATCCGATCAAGATCTGACGGCATAACTTAAACTACACTCCCCCCTACCCCCAAAAGATATACACACATATACATACATATATATATATATATGGGAAATGACCTTGTAAGACCCTCCCCCAAAGGATCACCATTAAATTTGGCACAGATCTCTAAAAAAGTCAAATCCTACACCCATGTGATAACTTTTCTAGAGATCTGTGCCAAATTTAATAGTGATCCTTTGGGATCCTGCACACATGGGTGTGGGAGGGTCTCATAGGATCATTACTCTATATATATATATATATATATATATATATATATATGAATTATGCAGATTTTAAAGAAAAAAAGTTCAAACAGCTGCAACCTGAAAAATATTTAACGACACATTACGATCAAACACATGAGAGTAAAAAAACGATATATTTAACAAGTACATAGCACGATCATAACCATGATAACCATAACAACAATCATAAATAATTAATATATAGAACAAAGTATTGCAATTACCTTGCCCCAGTTATGGCCATAAACTGTTGAACCTTGTCTCGGTGTCCTCTACCCAATTTATGCTGAGAATTAATTGGAAAAAAGAAAGAAATATCAGTTTTAGAGAACTCCATGAGGATAAATCATCATAGTACAAGTATCATAAATCCCCTGCGAATTTTACAAGTGAAGAGAACGGAAAATGCAAAACTGTTAAATAAATAAATGAAAACATATTCCTACTTAAGTAAAAACATCACATGCACCATATATAACCTAAGTACATTGAGAGTGTTGATACACATAAGGCACATGAGCATACAAACATACAACCATATGCATTTATTGTATGTCTGTGTCTATATGTTACATGCATATGTGAGCATTGGTACAAGTGTATCGTGTATAGCTATATATGTGCATGTGCACGTACATACAAACAGACATACATATATATACACGCATAATACATATGAGGGGAGAAAGGTAGAGAGTAAGAAAGCTCTTCATGTTAGAATTCATTAAGGTACATCACATGTGCTTGTGAAGCTAGCAAAGAAGCAAAGGAGGCAGCACTCTGCCCCATGTTAATAGAAACCTAAATGTGGATCCTATATTATTGAGAAATTTCCATGATGCTGCAATCAGCCACAGTCACATTCTCTAAAACAGTGGATATGGTGAACCACTTTGAACTCTTGAAATAGCGGATGGGGCATGCCTAGAAATTAGAACATAGTAACAAAGTTTCTAGGAAAGAATCAGTTACAGCACGAGTGCCAATAGTTCAGGGTTCCAAAAACCTTAGAAACGACATCGGGTTTAGCTTTGAATCCATATTTACTGACCATGGCAATATGAATAGCAATATCATGTGGGAGACTCCCGCAATCACCATTCATGGGAGAAGAAGAGCCGCCCTACAAAGAGAATCTAGCCTAAAATTTTTAAAGTGATAGAAACAAAAAACGTTTTTCAAACGGCATATCTATTTCAAAATTAACTAAATTCTGGAATAGCAGTCTAATGAATTCATGAGAGAAACCTTGAAAACACACCGTAAATAGGCGAATCATGTCTCCATGTGTACACCGGGTAAGAGCTACAGATGAGAGAGAAACAATGGAGAACGGTCTGAGACAAGAATACCAATACAAGCAATGGCTTCCATGTAAAATGAGATTATCGATCAATACAAAAATTTCCAGTTTCATTATGCAAATACAAGCACTGGGAAATTTAGCACTCAAGCTCACACTAGGAATCCCTCCATGAGAATCAATTCAAACATCCCAGAAACCATAAATTGTCCACCCAAAAATACCAACTTTGCATCAATGTTTTCACAGGATATTAAAAAACGCATACATGGATATCATAATGATTATTCAACAGGGTTTATTAGCCCAATGATCACTAAAACCTAATTTTACATAATCCACACCAATTCGTACTCAAGAAAAAAGGGCATATACTACGGTCTTTACCTTAATATACAGAAAACCCAGCTCGTTACTTCTTTTTTTTTTGTTAAGATATAATTACAGATGATAAATAGTTTATCCATACCAGTTACCAGAAAGTAGAAACCATATATATTTAAGATTCAAAAAAAAAAAAACATGCATATTCAATTAGCACAATAACTCTCTCAATAGTAATTCTTTGCACTTTATTCAATTGCTTATCAGCTTCAAGAATTGAAGACGCCTATAAACCCCTGTATATACATAATCGAGTAAAAATACAGAAACCAGGTGACATTTAACACTAAAAAGTGAAAACCAAAAGCTTGGCCATGGAGTTGAAAACAGTAACAAGAAAGAGAAACCAAGAGCTTAAAGAAAGCAAGCTTGAGATATCAACACTGACCATTTTGACTCTGGAGAAAAGAGACTCGATACTGAGGCTGGTCGTTTCTAGGGTTTAGTGGGAAACTGGTCGGAACAAAAGAGTTGCAGGAAGGGGAGAGAGGGGGTTTCGATCTGCTTCGTTTCTCACACTTCCCTCTCCCTCCCTCTCTCTCTCTCTCTCTACACCCCAATTCGAGAACCCTTACCTTTGCTTTGCTTTTAATACACAGCTGCTCTTTCTCTCTCTTATTGTTTCTCTCTCCTCTTTTTTCTCTCTCCCTCTAAACTGACCTGTCCTTCCAAAAGCTTCCAATCCCCTGTACCTTTCTGTGGAGCATTTAACTCTCTGCCGATCGAATGTTAATTGAATTCTTCACACTCAATAGTGAACATCATACACCAGTCGTGGAAGCTTGGAAGTACGGTGTATAGTATACTTTGTGGTGTATGATATACAGTACATAATGGGGAATCCACCGTATGTTATTGATGATGGATGGTGGAAATTAACTATATTTAGTATGAGTGTCTTGTCAAGGATTATGGCTTCTTCTTTTTTTTATTGTTTTTTGGGGTAGCAGTCCATTATTGAAGGCAGAAAGTGGGTGGTTATGTAGTGTATCATGTTCCAAACAACGGTGGTGTATAGTAAGCTATCCGGGGTTGGACCCCTACCCTTTCATTAGATAGAAACATGTTGTGGTAGTGGCAACAGACAGACTCCACCAGTCAATATCTGGTTCAAAAATTTTAACCTTTTTCCTAATTTCTAAAGACACTTTGACATGGGAATAGCCCTAAAGGATGTTGGAATGTCCCTCCAACTTAGAGGTAATTTTTTGTTTAATGGGTGGTCTGTCGAGGACGTGATTGTTGGACTGCATTTTCCGATTTTTGCATCATCCATTAGTAGTGAAAATGTATGCAATGAGATCGTTTACTTTTGATAAATGGATGTTTTGAAATCAGGTGGTCGAAAACGTGTCAATATTTATGCACAAAGTTTAAAATAGAATTTATCGAATGTTGAGAAGATTTTTAGATCCAATTGCTAAAAGTGATTATGACATATTTATACAACAGATAAATGATCCCATAATATACAAACTAATGATTATATTTGAAATTTAATTTCCGAGCACGATTCATTATTAATGGATGGTGTAGATGCCAGGAGATGCAGAACAATTCCAATAATTGCATCTATTGATGTGTCGGACACTTTTTTTTATTTAGTAACATGGGTAGCTCTTTATTAATAACATAAATTTAGCTACATCAATCAAAACAAAATATTCTTATCCCTTAATAATGGGGCCCGAAAAGTAAAGGCTGTAATAGCTGTCACAGGTTCATGATTTTGTCTTCATAGGATCCCCAAACTCTGAAAGGGGTTGAGTCGTGTGGTAGCAACCCCATACCTAGTTACCATATTGTGGTTTTCAATCTTGCTGACATCACCTATATGAACATTTTAGATAGGGTTGTCTTCTCCACTTAATTACCCAGAATAATAAATAAATAAAAAAGACGTCAAACTTGCAAGCAACCACCCATGTTGCTAAACGAACTTCCACTCTGCCCAAATTTAGGCATAGCAATGGACCAAGCAACTCCCCCGATCAGTCAGGCCCTAAAAAATGAAGGTTCCAGCCACAAGATGTGGCCTGAGGTTCAGACTAAGGTTAGGCCACCATGGCCCAAGCGTAGGGCTAGACCGGGCCAAGGCCACAAAAGGACTTGGATTGGCACCGACCGGCCCTTATTTTTTTACATTTGGATTTGTTGGCTCTGGCCGGCCTTGGGAGGACTACGTCCGAATCTCCTCAAGACAGCCCTACAAGGATTAGGGCCGGGCTAGTCTAGCCCATTACCAGCCCTACCCAAGTATCCTCCTCCCCAATTTAGGTCATGAAACAAGGTACACTCTAATTCTCCACGACGCGAGTTCCCAAAATCCAGAATTTCCATTTTGTAGACCTAAAACTCTCTCCCTGTCATATGATATTCACCCTCTCTTCCCCTCTCCCAAAATGACCAACTCTCTCCCTCTCTCTGAGCAAGGCCCACCATTAGCTCCCAAGAAAACAAAACTTCCATATTCCATAAAATTTACACTTCCAGTATCAAACACGACCTAAAACTCTATCTCCTTCTCAAATAACCTAAACTATTTCTTCCCTTCTCCCAACATAAGCAACAATTTCCCTTTCTCCCCAGCAAGAACAAATGACATTGAAAATTTAAAAAAAAAAGAAAAATAAAATTCCGAATAATATAAAATTTCTTAATTCACCTAAAACTCTCTCCCAAGTGACATGACTCCCTCTCCCAAAATGACCAACTCTTTCCCTCTCTTTCAGCAAGATCATCGACCTCTCCTCATAATATCTACACCACATTAGGGGTGGAACCCGGACCAGACCCGCTGGGTCCAATTTTTGTACTCATACCCATACCCATATCCAAATCAGGTCTACCCCTCGAGTCCCAGGTCCAAGTCCATTACCACCCCTACACCACATATATTTTGTTGTAGAAAATTTGTTTCATGTAACGGGGTATAAAGCATCCACCTTAAAGATGGATGCATATACGTGGTCCATCTAAAACAATTGAAACTAATGATCCAAATGTCTTCTTAATAGAATTATTATTTTTAATTTCAAAATTTATTTATTTTTTCATGTTCATGATCTCCATGTTCGAGATTACATGTCCTTAAAAATTACGTCAAAAAATCCATTTCAAAAATAGATTTTTAATAGGTGACTCATTTCTACATGGACTCATAGAAATCATGTCTTTTGTTGTGATGAAGTATCTCTTTCTACAATTTTTGTAATCCAGTATATCTTTCCCCAATGTGGTCAATCGACCCTTAACTCAAAATTTCAAAGCACCGTGCCTTTCCCTTCCAGCTAAGGAACTTACCAAAATTCATGAACCTTTAAATGCCAAAATCGCCAAATTTTGTTCCAAAATTGGCATGCAATTGTCAAAAGGATGGTATAATACCCACATCATGAGCTTGAAAGGTTCTTGTGCGCCCTTCAACATTTCATATTATATTTGGGCCTATCCGATGACTACAATTTCGTTTTGTTTTTATTTTTATTTTTTACAAAATAATTTTAAGTAAAAATTTGAGGGTCCATACAACTTTGTGGGGTACACCCAATAAATATTGAAAATATTTAAAATAAAAAAAATTGACCAAGATACCTTCGTGGTGCATTTTGGTTAATTTTTTAGGAGAGTTATTTTTTTTTAATTTTTTGAGTACCCTACGTCAACATGCATGTTTGACTAATTTTTATGTGAATCAATTATATAAATAAGAAATAAAAAATTGAAGGAATTTGTGCCCTTGGATTGGCCCAAATTTATTTTGACAAAAGGGTGCCTACTGACCATTCAATTGTCTGCATGATGTTGACAATATGCTTCACCTTCAAAAAAAACCCACACATTACCTTCCAAAGTACAAATATAATACAATTAAATGCTGTAATTTTAAGAATATGTCAAAAGGGAGAATATCGTAAGGTCCCCATATCAACATCTATTTCGTGACAACCCCCGCCCTGTTCTTGTGTCAAGAGAGGCGTTAGAAAGTTCTAAAATGTATCATCCTAACCCCTTTTCAACTGCCTTCCTCCCTTCAATGCTTAAAAAGTTGTCCCAAATAATTTCCTTTATACTAACCAAGTCTTTTTCTCAAAATTTAGTATTTTTCAGTGTTTGAAAAATCGCTGATTTGGATCGGAATTGCCCGATCTTGATCTCGTCCTAACCATTTTGGATCTCATAATATATTAAAATCCGACTATTTCCCCCCATAATTGACGAGGTTGTGCCGGTCCATACCTGTTCTCTAACATAACTGGCCGATTCCGCCAAAAAACCGGTTTCTATTTTCAATATACATAGTGAACCGGTTCATGTTTTCTCCTCTATAAGCCCGTCTCTTCCTCTCTTTCTCACCCCATCCCTCTCTCTTGAGCGCCATTGTTTATTTTGGCATCCACCCACAAAGCAAAAAAAGTGACTTTTTTTGGGCTGAAAGATACCCTCATTTTAACTCATGTTTCTCACTTTCTCTATCTAAGCCAATTCAGCACAAAATATGCCACACCTGCACAACTTGAGTGTATAAAACCACACGGCAATGCGGTATCAAAAATATCTTTTTTTGGGGGGAAGGAGATTGGGACTTGAGCAGAAAATAATATGATAGTGTAAAAAAGAGTTTAGCAACAGCAATGCAGTATCTATAATTATAGATGCCTCTTAATTAGACTTTTCAGGCACCCACATCCTACCCCTTTTTTTGCTAAAAAATATTATTTTGATACCACACTAGTAATCTCAATGTTATTTATTTTTTAATCCACCTCCTCCCCCCAAGCAAATAAGTTGTTTTTTTTACTGAAATATATTCATGTTAACCCACGTTTCATATTAACTCTGTCTACGTCAGTCCGGCACAAAATGTGCCAATTTGTACTGATCAGGCATATTTTGTGTCGGATATGCACTTTTGTCATAAGCATGATACATTTTGTGCCAAACATACACTTGTTTGGCATCACATTTGGAATGTGGCTTAAAATAGATGGCATTTTGATTAAAAAATCAATACTTTTTTTGTTGGGAATAGGTACAAAAATAATTAATATTAAAGTTAATAGTGTGGTATCAAAAATATTGAGAGTCATTGCCCAAAAAACACAAATTGGGGAATTTTTATGTAATGGGGGGTATTTTGGAATGGAAAAGGGGTAGATCTGAGGCTCTAAACAATTAAATTAGATAGCACCTCGACAAATTTACCATAAGAGGTTGTTTTGATGCTTAAATATCCTCAAATCAATCATCTCGACATGAAGATACATGGACATGAGAAAAAAATAGATTTCAAGGTTTGAAAATAGTGCATCTTGTAATGCATTTTTGGACCGTCAATTTTCAAGATTTTTAAGTTTTCATAAATCTGTTTGATCTACATTATTTTTGAAACTTTAAATTCTATAACTAGAAGTGAAAATATATTTTAAAGCTATCGCAAACATTTTTAATATTGAAACCATATTTCTCAATACTATTTGAAAATGCGCTCTATTTTGATTATTTAGAGCCTCGACTTTATACAAACTTCCCCCTTTCACATATGGGCAAATGGGATAAAGGGTTTATTGTCCTGTATATGTTACTAACGCTTTCTATCATGTCCCACCTTTTGAATTGTTGGTTTCCTCATGGCCCAACATGCATTCATATTTCATGGATTAAAC